GAAGGTTGTACCTGCAGCTGGAGGGGCCGATCCCGTGCGGGCAGGAGGAGCCGGGTGTGGTGCCCATCCCAGGGAAATCAGGGCCCCGCCGCGGGCCTGGGGTGTGCGGGAGGAGCTCTGCTTTGTCACCTGCCAGGCAAGCGGGATTTAGCCTCAGGGAGGGTCAAGCAGCCGCATTTCCGAGCGGGAGGTTGGCTCTGGAGCCCCGTTTCGGCCGCCTTCCTCTCCCCTCCCCCTGCCTGCATCTGGAGGCTCGACACAGGAACCCAGATAGCATCATCCTGAAACCAGAATAGAAGCCTTGGAGGAGACTTGAGCATGTTTGTGCGGTTTTGATCTCGGTTTGTAGATAAAGAGGTGCTAAACAATGCTAAGCTGCCGAGTTGGAGTCCCTCACGGTGTGTGTGCAGCGGGGCTGGGGAATGCTGGCAGCTGGCAGCTGCCCTGCTGAGGACATCCCCAGGCAGGTACCGCATTCCTCCGTGGTGCCACATCCCTCCAGGGTGCCACATCCCTCTGTGGTGTCGGGGCTGCTCCTGCCAGCGCTGCCCCCCATCCCAGCAGCAAAGCTGGCTCGGGTCCATCACATGGGTGATGGCTGGCACCACGCTGGTGCCTTTGCTGGAGGGGAAGACCAGCGTTAATGTGGGTACAGTCACTGCATTTTAGGGAAGAACGCTTTTCCCCCCCTCTGCAGAGGAGAAGGAAGTCGGTCCCGCAGATCCAGAAACCACCAAGAAGGAAACTAAAAGTCCTCGGTGTCAGCATGGAGGATATGTTAAAAAAAAACACAACAATTAACTCACAAAAGGCAGCGAGAAAGGAAACAGGAAGGCAAGAACTGCAGTTAAACAGGCGGGTTCAAGAGGTGACTTGAGCTAAATCCTCGTCCTCAAGGGAAGGGCTCCAGCCCTGGTGGTGGGTGGGGAAGCGACTCTGTTGGTCTGTGCCGGTGCAGGACCTGGTAGCCTCAAACTGAGGCTTGGAGACCTTGCTGCAGTTGCTTCTTCATCTTCAATTGCTTTTATGGTTCTTTGCAGCAGGTGGGGAGTCAGAGCCGTGCCAGGGTCCTCCAGGGCAGCACAGCCACCCTGCACCTCAGCTCAGCTGCTCCTCCTGGTAAAAGCTGCAGGGTTGTGGTGGGGAGCAATGCAGCAGGGCTGCTCTCACCACCACTTGGGTATCACTGCCACCTCGAGAGCATCACCACTCCCTCCCTCTGCTCGGCCCTTTCTCCCACACCCCACAGCACAGGGTGGTGAAGGGCTCGGCGTGGTGGGTGGAAACCACTTCCCATGGCAGGCCGAGCTCGTGGGCTGGTTTGCAGCACAGAAACCCAGCGCTGTCACGGGCTCATCCCCACAGTGTGGGCAGCAGATGAGGGGGGGATTCTGCCCCTCTGCTCTGCTCTGGTGAGACCCCACTGCAGAGCTGCCTCCAGCCCTCCAGCCCAGGGAGAAGGTGAAGCTGCTGGAGTGAGTCCAGAGGAGACCTTGGAGATGCCCTGGGGGCTGGAGCCCCTCTGCTCTGGAGAGCTGGGGTTGTTCAGCCTGGAGAAGAGTCCTGTGAGACCTGAGAGCCCTTTCCAGTGCCTAAAGGGGCTCTAAGAGAGCTGGAGAGGGACTTTAGACAAGGGATTGGAGTGACAGAAGAGGAAACAGCTTCCCGCTGCCAGAGGGCAGGGTTAGATGGGATACTGGGACAAAATTCTTGGCTGTGAGGGTGGTGAGGCCCTGGCCCAGGTTGCCCAGAGAAGCTGTGGCTGACCCTGTATCAAATGTCTAAAGCCAGGTTGGACAGGGCTTGGAGCAAACTGGTGTGGTGAAAGTTGTCCCTGCCCATGGCAGGGGAGTGGGACGAGATGAGCCTTAAGGTCCTGTCCAACCCAAACTATTCCACAGTTCTGTAACACCCTGCAGCTCATAACCCCATGTGCCCACTGCTTGTGTGCTGAAGCTCTCCTGCAGTGACCCTCCCACGGAGATGCTGCAAGATGGGGACATGTTACTGCAGTAATTTCTGTGTGTGAATAAACCCTGAGCCCCCCCAGAATGTGTTGGTCCCACTGGGCTGGGGTCAGTGAATTTGGTCCTGTTGGGTGCTCTGTCCCTTGGGGGTGGGTACCCGGTGGGGAGGACCCCATCTCGCTGCATTTGGACCCATAATTCTCAGCCAGGCCTTTGACTTGAGGGAGCCAAGTAAGGACAAACCCATCTTTGGGGAGAATTCCTGCAAATCCTGGGTAAAAGGTGGGTTGGTCCTACAGTGAAAGCACTGGGTGCCTGGGCAGAGCAGGTGCTTGGTTGGGCTGTGCTCTGCCTGTCACCTGCATTTCTCCCTCCAAATTGGGGCTTTCTGTGCCATGATCAAACATCCTCCCATTCACCTCATCCATCAGATGAGCTGCACCTTCACAGGGCAGTGTTTTATTTCTTTCCCTTTTCCATCCTTTCTTTGCCCAAGCTCCAGCTGTCCTTTGAAGCTGCTTTTGCAGGTTTCCTCGCAGCCAAGGACGTCCCCATGGTGCCAGCCCTGGTCTGGGGATGGAGGTGGGAGGAATGTCCCTTGAACAGTGGTTGAACCCCTCCCAGTTTTGCTGTCACCCGTGCCGCTGGCTCTGCTGTTCCCGCACAGGCACGAGTGGACGGGGGAGCCACACGCCGGGGGGGGGGGAAAAACAAAGAGCTCCAAAGGCAAATACATTTTTGGAAAGGATGCGTTTATTTGCCTTTATTTATCTTCCCAAAGCTTTTGGATTCATCCTTTTGATCTTCCCCCTTGCAGCTGCACGGCCAAGGTTTGGTTTATCTCAGCTGACATTGTGCTGAGAGCTCTGCAAGGCGGGTGTGAAGGAAGGGCAGCTGAATTCCTTTGCCCTCCAGAGGGGCGGTGTGCTGCGCTAACTTTAGCAAGGAGCAACTTAAAAAGGGATTGCAATAAAAGTATATTAAAAATAGCAAATGGCCGTAGAAAGTGGATGTGAGACTTTTGAGTGTCCCTGCTCAGGAAACGTGGGGCTTGTTCAGGAGGGATAGAAAAGTGACAAATTACAGAGCGGTGCAGAGCACCCCCGCTGCTCATGCAAAGCCAAGGTGAAGCCACTTAGAAATAGGTAGAAAAGATCAGAAATATGTAGGTGAAAAAATACAGAAATAGAGACCTGGAAGAGTTACCAGCTCCCCTGCGTCTCCAGCTCTTGGAGCTGGGCATCCAGCCCCCCAAATTCCTTGTTTTGTAAAAACATCTCCCAGCTGAGATTCCTCTCTGCTTTTTCTTTCTTCCCCCATTTGCAAAATGCTAACTCTGCTCCCTCGCCCGTCTCTCCAATTTGGAGCAATTTACTGGGAGCCGGGGATGAATTACTCAGCACAGAGTTAACCAGCACCTGCTCGGAGTTAATTGGCATGTGTGCTAATTGCTGTGATAGTCACACTTGTGCGAGCTCGGGAGGGGGGGGGTGTAGCTCGGGGCGAAGGGGGGGTGGGTGTGGAGATGCGGACGCCGCCTCTCTCCCAGCTCTTCTCGCTGCCTCCCCGGGGCGATGCTGAATTCCCTGATCCTTGCCGAGATTCCCTGGGGCAGAAGAGGGACTTTTCGCCGGTGCGGTGCCCACGGTTTGCTTTCCAAGCAGGTTTGTAGGTCCCTTTCGATGCCTTTGGACCTTGCTCGCATTTTTCTTGGAAAACCAAGCTCAGGGGAAAGAAAAAAGCTGCTGCCTGAGAAAGAAGATGTTTTAACGACTGGGGTTAATTGCGTTGAATAGAACCACCTGAGACCCCAAAGGTTGAAGGTTATTTAGGAGTTCAGCTCCTTGTAACAGTCCTATGCTCTGGGGGCTTTGCTGTATCCACATTCTTGGTGCTTAAATTCCACCTGATCACGGAGGGGAGGAGGGTCATGGGTGATCCTGATGCCTCGAGTTGGGCAGTGAGGGACACAGAGCAGTTTGGTGATGAAGGAGAAGGACCTTCAGGGGCAAAGAGGGTGCTCCTGGGTTGGGGCTGAGCTGTCAGTGGCAGTGCTGGCACGGGGGGCAGGAGGAACAAAGGCAGCTCTCCAGGTTTCTTGTGCTTCCAGGTGCTGATCAGAAACTCGAGCCTGTGGTTGGACTTTCTGAAACAGCCACCTGGGCAGGAAACGTGAAAATACCTGGGTTTAAAAATATGGTGGGGAAAAAACCCAACCTAAAAAACAAATAAACCCACCCCCAAACCCCAACCCCAACACCAGGAGCATAAAGAGAAAAGGGTGGAGTTTGAAATCCCCCCTTTTGGGTGCATTAGGAGGGCAGCAAACATACTTTGCTCTTCTCCATCCCTCCTCTTCGTCCTGTCTGATGGTTGCCCTTGCAGTGGGGTGTTTTCCTTCCTGTTCAGGGGAGAGGGATCAAGAGCATCACGTGGCAGCTCTTTTTCTCCCCATGGTGATGAGCAAAAATCTGTTCAGTTGCCTTTTTCCTGTGGAGAACTTCACCCAGTGGCATGAGCAAACCCCGAGGCTGGGACAGCGGTCCCCGTCCAGCCGAGGAGGTGCTGAGGATGCAGGATTTGGGATTCAGAGCAGCAGGAGGAATCTGGTTTGGTGGTTGAAAAAAGGGGATTAGAACTGAAACACTTGGGGTTTATTTGTGGCCCAGGGAGGGGAATGTGGTTGGAATCCCTCCACCCCCGAGCAAGAAGCCTCGGCTCGTGCAGGGGTCAGGGCCGGCACGAGCAGCACTGGGATCTCCTCATCCCTGCAAATATCCCATCTCTTTTCGAGCACTGTGGAGCTCTTGGCTGCAATAGCATCCTGTGAACAAGTCCCGCAACGAAATTGTGTTAAAATGTGTTTCCTTTCACTCAGCTTAAATTTACTGCCCGTTGTTCTCCAGTGTTTATTGTTGCTTCTGGAGAGTTGTTCCTCTCTGGTTTGGACAGTAAATCCGACGTCTTTCGGAGGGTTTCTCTGTCCAAGAGCTGCAGCACACGGAAAGAATTAGCATCTTGCCCTGGGTCCGGATGCGGAGCTGTTGCTACTTCGTGCTGCTGCTGGCGGCTCCGAAGATGCTGAAGGTGAATATTTTTCAGCCAGGAACGGCAGCTCCGAAGGGAAAAGCGGCAAAGCGAACCCGGCAGAAGGTTCCTCCTCTGCCAGAGCTTCTCTGTGCACGCAAAATGCTCGCCTTGGCCCTGAGCCTCGGGCTGTGGACTCTGTCCCGTGTGGCCCCACAGTGAGGGGGACACCGAGCGGGCACTCCAGGTGAATGGAACAAAAGTCCTCATTTCCCTTTTGGCTCGACCTTGGGGGGATAATCTTGTGGCAGCCCAGCACCTGCATTGCCTGCTTGCTGGTGCCAGCCAGGGCAGTGGTGCTCTGGAACTGGCAGTGCTCTGGGACCGGTGATGCTCTGGGACTGGTGATGGTCCAGGACTGGGAATGCTCTGGGACTGGTGGTGCTTTGGGGTCGATGATGCTCTGGGACTGGCAATACTCTGGGACCTGTCTTTTTGAGACTGCCCCCAGAGGGACAGGGAGCAGCAGCTAAAGGACATCCCCTGGCACTGGCTCAGTGTCCCCCGTGGTGACAATGCTCCTCACAGCTGGACGGTCCCTCCCATTTGCTGCTGGGAGGGAAATGCTCACCAATTTTGGGAAATAATGATCCAAGCAGCAAATGCCATCCCTGTATGGTCTGTCCTTGCAAAGAGTCTTCCTGGTGGGACTTACAAGGGGGGGGGGAAAAAGCAGGTTTTGCTGCCCTTTGTCTCTCTGATCTCCTTCCTGTGCTTCCTCTTGCTCATCCTGCCTGCAGGGCAAATGGTGGATTTTGGGGGTGGGGGGGAAAAAGTCTCCCCATTCTCTGGGCTGCTTAAACCTGCACTGAAACCACAGAACACGATGCATGTTGAATAATTTCACCAAAAAAAAAAAAGATTAAAATGACTCATGTGACTCAATGAACCCCAAAAACAAGTGTGGGAGTGAGACCATCAGGGCTTGTTTGTTGTTGAAACACGGTCTGATGAGAGGGCAAAGGATGGGGCCAAGGTCCCTGGGGGCTTTCAGTGAGGCCTGAGGGGGCTTTAGGGTGGGAGAGGAGCAGGAGGAGCTCGGTCAGGGTTGGCTGCGGCTGCTGTGGTGAATTTGGGATGAAGGGATGGAAGAAAACCTTTGGGTTGTTTGGTTTGTTTTTTTTTTTTTTTCATGCTTTTTGTAACAAGACCAAGAGCTGGGGACTGCCAAGTCGAGGCAGATAGGAAGCTATTTTGGGACTGGCTTTTCCCTCTGCCCGGGTCTTGGCACAGGGCACCTCGCCTTAAATGCAGCGTTATCACTGCTGTTATCCAGCCGCTCGGAGAGAGAGCTGGGAGGAGAACATACCTGTGGAAAATGAACCGCCTGAAGTTCCCTCTTTGTCCCCCTCGCTGCCCTGCAGCACACGCTGGGAAATGGGGGTGAAACGGGGTTGGGAGGCTGTGCCCTGGTACACCTGGTACACCTGGATGGAGCCTCTGGCATCAGGGGATGCAGGTGCCCAGGGTTGCTGAGTCCCTGCCCTGTGATCTGCTGTGGGGTCCCAGAGTGAGGCTGTGGAAGGAGCCACGTGGATGCTCTGGGACCTGTGGACTCACCCCTGTGGGAGAGCTTAGGGCACAAGATACCCCCAAATCAATCCACACACCCCCTGGATCAATGGAAGCATCCGGTGTCTGGCTGTGGCTGAGCTCAGGGGAAGGCCAGGCTGTCTCAGCTGCCTTCAGAGTCTTCCTTTCTCCTAAGAATTAGGTTTCTGTGCCTGGTTATAAGGGGTTTTTTTTAAGTAATCAAATAAAGACATTTTAAAATTCCAAATTGAAGATTAGCGCAGAAATTGGAGACGGATTTAAATTGCCCGAGCTAATCACCAGCCACTCGACTACTTATGACTTTATTAAGAGAAAAAAAAAAGAAAAAAAAAAGTCTGGAGTGTCAGGGAGGAATAATGAAATGATTCACGGGCGCGTTGTTGCCGTCTCCTCCTCCTCCCTCAGCGTCACCATGCCCGGCCCAAACGTGTCCCCTCTTGGGCTCCATCCCTGGGGTCCTTCAAGCCCAGGTTGGGTAAATCCCTCTGCAGCCTTTCTGTCCCCAGAGCTGAGTGGGGGGAGGAAGGATCAGAGACCCCCATGACCTGGGAGG